CCCCCCCCCCCCGGTGCATTGAGTGCATTCAGGACTTGTGTGAACAAGGATTCAATCTTATTATTATTAGATTCATCCTGGATTATTTTTGTGGTGTTAATGGGGTCCCAGTCTTTAAAGGCCTGTCGAAACAGAAAAATCTTGACAGTCTGCAGAGAGGATGGAAGGTGCCAGTCCAACCTTCCCAGCAGATTTCACAGCATGGGCTGGTTCATAATGGAGAATACGGTCCTTCAAATAGCCTGGATCTGAGAAGTGTAGGGATTTACGAGTCAAAACCAGCACTTTGAACTATCCAGAAATGGACTGGCAGCCAGTAGAACTGTTCCAACAAGGGATTTGTATGCTCCATGTAACACACAAGCATTTTTCTCCTACTTCAAAATCTCTTACCAGTTGGATATGCATGTATGAATTTTGCAAATGCCATTTGAGTACTGGACCTTTATTATTTACCTATCTTAAATCAGCACTCCATAAACATAGTATTTTGGCTTAAGAGTCCCGCTCTTCACAGAGTAGGTTTTACTTTGCTGACTTGTTCTATTTTAAGCAACAACTGACAGCCCTGTGTATAGATTTTGCTGAGATGCAACATCCTCTTGTGTCTGCCAAGTTTTTATTTTTCTGGTTAAAAATATATTACTCAGTCCATGGTCCAGGAAAAGGACTGTGGAATATAATATGCACAAAGAAGTTTTTGATATAATAAACACATGTAGTAATCTCCTTAAACATCAATAAGTAGTAACACAGTGAAGCCTAAAATTTTTTTCAACCAGCTGAAAATGTAAAGGCCTAAATTTAATAGTTTTAATTAGCGTAAACTCATTGTACAAACAGAATTTAAATAAGTGTTGACTTAGCAAATTCCCATACATTCAGCAAGTCTATTCTAGCATGAACACCAGATAGCTTTCCTGTAAGAAAGTATTCAAAAAGCATCGAGGATACTAAAGATTAGTGTCTCCTTAGTAGATGAAAAATTATCTGATGCTCTTAACCTTTATCAGATTTTTTTCTTTCTTTTTTTTAAACGTATGTTGCCGTATTTTCTGGTATTATCAGCCCCTAATGAGAATTCCACGATATTGGCAATTAGGACTGTGATGGTTGTGTGTCTTCAATTAGTTTTTGACTTATAACGACCTTAAGGCAACCCTATTATGTGGTTTTTTGAGGCTGAGAGTGTATGACTTGCCCAAGATCATTAATGGGTTTCCGTGGCTGAGCAGAGATTCGAACTCTGGTCTCCGAGTTGTAGTTCATTGTTCAAACCACTATGCTAGACTGACTTCTTATGGTCAAGGTTAAGGTACAGGTCTTATATTCTCTGATAAATTTCTTGATCCCAATAAAAATCCCAGTGTGCACTCCACTTGACATGAAACTACTTGGCAATGAGGAGTCACTTCACAGTTTGCTAGAAAATGACAATTATTTTTGGTCCTGATACATTACATTGGCTTGGAAAGAGAATCATAGAACTGGAAGAGACCTCAAGGTCCAGTCCAACCCCATTGTGCCATGCAGAAAGACACCATCAGAGCACTCCCGACAGATGGCCATCCAGCTTCTGTTCCAAAGAAGGAGACTCCATCAAGCGAGCGTCTTCCACTGTCCAACAACTCTTATCATCAGGAAGTTCTTCCTAATGTTTAGGTGGAATATTTTCCTGTAGTTTTCATCCATTGCTCCGGGTCCTATTCTCTGGAGCAGCAGAAAACAAGCTTGCTCCATCCTCAGTTTGACACCCCTTCAAATATTTAAACAGGACTATTATATCAGCCCTTAACCTTAACTTACCACAGTAGCTTAAAAAAGCAGAATAGAATGAAAAACAATAATAGATTGGAATCATACCTTTCTTCATCTCAGTTATATTTCTTTATTAAAAAATTGTATACATGGCAAGTGATGTTATAAGTCTAGCTTTTTGTGGCTGCAACAATCAAATGTGAGTTTTCAGAGAATTAAAATGTTTCATCCTTGTTGTGTTGCTTTATCAGTCAACATGTTGACTTCAGTTTATGGCAACCCTGAGAGGCTTACATAAGCCCCAAACATCAAGTGCCCTGCAAAGGGTCTTGCAAACATGTAGCAGCCATGGTTTCCTTGATTAAATTAATCCAACTGTAATGCAGACTTTCTCTTTTCCTATTGACTTCCACATCACCGAGATTATAATCTTTTCCAATAAATTATCTCATCTCATAATATGTCCAAAGCACATCAGCCTCAGTTTAATCATCTTGGCATCTAGTGAGGATTCAGACCTGATTTACTCTTAAGTTCAAGTATTTTGGCATGGTATCTGTAGAACTCTCCTCAAGCACCACATTTCAAATGAGTCTTCTCCATGTCAGCTTTTTTCACTGTCTGACTTTCACATCCATACATAGAAATTGGAAATATGGCACGGATGATCCTGATTTAAGTATATAAAGATGTATCTTTACACTGATCCTGGTGCATGAGGGCTAATTTGATCCTGGAGGAACTGATCCTTTTGAGACTTTAAAGCAGCCTTTCTCAATCCTTTCTACCTTTTTTACTCTTTCAGTTCCTAAAATAATTTTCAAGTTTCAGGGAACGCCTGCATATTTTTGTAAATGGCCTTACATGTGCACAAAATTGAGCATATATACGCGACTATACATCAACCTCATGTTTAAGTCAAGGGCATGTTATGGAGCCAAAATTATGGATTTTAATATGACCTGTGGATAAGTCAATGGTAAAATTTAGGAGCATAGAACAAAAGATCTAAATAATGAAGCAAAGGAAAACAATGCCAAAGAACCTACAAAATTCTGGCAGGCATAACTGGTTGGGCTTACCCTAAAGCAGGGGTTCCCAAACCTTGGTCCTCTAGATATTTTGGACTTCAGCTCCCAGAATTCCTGACTGCATGCCATGCTGCTTAGGGCTTCTAGGACTTGAAGTCCAAAACACCTGGAAGACCAAAGTTTGAGAGTCACTGCAAAGGATGGATGAGAGAGAATAGCAAGGGGCCAGTGCTTCCAGGACAGTTGACAATCTTGCATTTCACCAGGGGATGGTTCCTTTTTTTTTTTAATAAGAGTTAAAGTACAGTATTTACATTAACCCGTGGATAAGTCAACCCAAGTTTTTTTGGGGGGTGTCAATTTTTTGACTAACATTTCTAGACTTATACATGAGTATATACAGTAATTAAGTAGTTTGCAATATCCTCATCCACCTAGGGTCTGCCATAAGGATACAATATATGGACATCGTTTACACACTGTGTGTCATGATGTGCCATGAAGGCCTGATGCACATTGGAGCACTCTTGCCAGTGCCTTGCAATCCATGAATACGGTTTTATTGCATTTTGCATTGTATTTGTTTTTGTTGTTGGTGGTGGTGTGTGTGTGTGTGTGGCTTTTGAATTATGATGGCCCTAATAGGCTTTTCTTGGCAAGATTTGTTCGGAGCAGATTTGCCTTTGCCTTCTTCTAATGCTGGGAGAATGTGACTTGCCTAAGGCCACCCAGTGGGTTTCCATCTGAGTGTAGATTTGAACCCTGGTCTCCAGAGTCATAGTCCAGTGCTTAAGCCACCATACCACACTGGCCCTTACAAAATGTAGAGTGTGACATAAGTTTTTGGCCACTGTATGCATCTCTGCCTTCCAGTTGCCTGTGGAAATTCATGGCCACCCCATGAATTTCATAGGGTTTTTTCTTAGGCAAGGAAGACTCAGAGGCGGTTTGCTCCCTTGTATCTACATTTTACAAAATAATTTAGTCATGATCCTTCTTGGAACCTTAAGATTCTAGGGAACTCTTGCTTGAGGAACCCTTCTTTATAGATAAGATGCAGCTTGAAAAACACTATCCAAATGCCCTTCAAAAGTAACTTTTCAAAAGAAGTAAAAAAAACACACCACACATCAGTACAATGGTGAAGTGACTTGTGAGCACTTCTTTTGATATGTGCCTTTGGTCCTCAATTCATTACCCTTCACTGTTGCCTTTGAGCTCTGCTGCCACCTCCTAGTGCCTTCCGCCTCAGGGCTTGCTTGCGTTTCATGGATAGCCAAATGGAGCCTCCATCTTCAGTGGCAATGTACCTTTGAATAATATATATTGCAATGGACAAGAGAAAATCAGGTGCTTCCTGGCTGGACACAATGCAATAGCTTTGGTCTGGTTTTGCTTTTACCTTCTGGTGTTTTAAAGGCTCAAGATAAAGTCACCAGGTCCTGTCTGATCTTAGAAGATATGCAGGGTAAGACCTGGTTAGTACTTGGATGGGATTCTGCCAATGAATACAGTGGTCCCTCCACTTTCACTGGGGTTAGAGACACAAGACTCCCATGAAAGCGAAAAAGACACAGATAAAAAACCCCACTTTTCTAGGTATTTGCATGGTAACTCTTGTGATCAACATCTGCCAGGGGTTGTCCATAGAATTGCACTGGAGGACCTACAAATGGTTAAAGAAGTGTTCTCTCTAGGAATCGCTAGGTCCTCCGGCATGATTTCGGCAGACGTTGCCCATAGAGTTGAGTTGGAGGACATAGAGATTCCTAGAGAGGACATATTAATCAAATCCGTGAATAATCAAATCCGCAAAAGTCAAAGCCGCAAATTTGGAGGGCTGACTGTACCTCTGTATTTCAGAGGAAGGAACTGGCAAAACCACCTCTGAGGATGCCTTGCCTAAGAAAATCCCATGAAATTCCTGGGGTCACCATAAGCCAACTGGCGACTTGAAGGCACACACACAACATCTGCAGCCATTTGGGCACTTCCCAGGGGGCAAGTGAGGAGGCGGTTTTGTTCTTGGACCTGCCGGAGTCTGCTTTGTCCGGCTGCCTCTTGTGTAACATCACATTCCAGTCTCTCTTTCTTCCGCCCTGGTTGCTGCCCCTCCTTGCCAGCTAAACTGGAAAAGCAGACAAAGTAGTGGTGCCAGGACAAACTTGGTGTGAGTGGGGAGGGCCTCTGGAAGTTGACCGCGAGGCTTATATTCCTTTCCACCCAGCCCTTGCTTGGCCTCCCCCCATCCACCGCCACTTCATACCCTCCAATATTTTCTGGCAGACTGTTTTCATCCATTTGCAATTTGCAAGGCAACCTCTTCTGTATCTTGCATTTGGGAAGAATTCAAAGATACAGCTGTGTAGAATCAGTATGCAGATAGATCTTGTAGCACCTTTGAGACTAACTGCAAGAAAGAAGTTGGCAGCATGAACTTTTGTAGACTTCAGTATACTTCGTGAGATGCATTTGGTGGAGTGAAGCCAGGGACAGACAGACAAACACACACACACACATACACAGACACACAATTGTTTTCTTTATTGTATACCGCTCGTGAGTCGATCTCAACTCATGGCGGCCCTATGGTATTGATATACCAATTGTGTGTGTGTGTATACGCGCGCACGCGCACGCACGCACACACACACACACACACACACACACACACACACACCAGGGGTCGGCAACCTACAGCCCGGGGGCCGGATCTGGCCTCCCGAAGCTTTTGGACTGGCCCCAGGTAAGAAGAAGTTGCTGACCCCTGATATACACCATACCAATGACATATATATGTCTGCCCCTGGTTTCCACTCCACCAAATGTATCTGAGGAAGTAGACTGAAGCCGATAAAAGCTTATGCTGCCAACTTCTTCATTTCAGTTAGTCTCAAAGGTGCTACAAGATCTCTTTGCATTTGGGAAGAGAGTGTTATATACACCTTAACAGGGCTGAGATTTGGAGGAATAATCCAAGTTTCATACTCCAACTATCCCAATTTGGCAGGGACAATGCCAATGATTCCTCTCCTCTATAATAGAGGGACATTTCCAAGGAATTGAGTACAATGGTACTCAATTTATTTTACCTGAGAGAACCTCTCCCTAGGAATCTCCAGGTTCTCCAGCGCAGCTCTATGGTCAACATCTGCCAGATGTTGATCAGAGAATCACACTAGAAGACCCACAAATGCTTAGAAAAGTGTTTTCTCTAAAAACTTCTAGGTCCTCCAGCATAACTCTGTGGTCAATTTCCAGCAGAATCTTTCTAGAGGACCTAGAGATTCCTAGAGAGAAGATATTAAAACCGCAAATAATAAAATCTGCAAAAGTCAAAGCCGCAAATGTGGAGGGCCAACTGTATATATTTGTAAAACCTGTTTTTTTCTTTCTTTTTGGCAACCAGAAGAAGGGTATCTGTAAACTCGTGTGCTTTAAACTAGCTGAGTTTTCTTGTTATAACATCAGTTACCTTTTACTATGTAGAATTCAAAGATATAGCC